TAAATGAGCTTCAGTAGTACGAGCGCGTCTCTGCGCATGAGCCTGGGGCCTCCTGGGGCCTCCTCAAACCTACTGGGGCTTCCTGGGGCCTCCAGGAGCCTCTTGGGGCCTCCTGGGGCCTCCTGGGACCTCCCAGAGGGGCGTCGTGCCCCAGGAGAGGCACAATCTATAGCAGCCGACGTACATAAAATATTGCGGATTGGAGCCGCAGGAGAAGGGCAAGCTATAGGAACACACGTAAAGCACCACGGATTCGTGCCCCATGAGAGCCCCAACATATAGGAACAGAAGTAAACCATTTAGGATTATGTTCACAGGAGAAGGCACATCTATAGACACATACGTATAACGTCACGGATTCGTTCTCCAGGTGAGGCCCAATCTATAGGAGCATACGTAAACCACATGGGATTGGAGCCATTCCTGTTGCCTTCTGAGGCCTCCTGCTCATGGGGCTTCTCGGGGCCTCCTGTTGCCTTCCGACGTCTCTTGCTGCTTCCTGAGACCTCCTGGGGCATCCTGTGGCTTCCTGAGGCTTCCTGGAGCTTCCTGGGGCCTCCTGGAGCCTCTTGGGACATCTTGTGGCCTCTTGAGTCTTTACGTGGCCTCCTGATGCCTCCTGGGACCTCATGTGGTCCCCAGGGGCCTCCTGGAGCATGTTGGAGCATCCTGTGGCATCCTGGGGAGAATATGTGCCCACGAGTCTGACCACCAAACCAAGCAAACCGAACGAGACATCCTCAACATCTGGCCCACCTTGGGTGGTCAACATGAGCGCCTCGCTCGAGACATCCTCCAAACCTGCTCCGAAAGCGAAGAATGCTGGGACAGAAAACATGCAAAATGAGCGCCTCGCTCGAGACATCCTCCAAATCTGCTCCGAAAGCGAAGGATGTTGGGACAGAAAACAGGCAAACCGCCAGAGACATCACCACACAACGGCAGCGAACGGGACCGTGTCATATTCCTCGGCGGTTCCCTTTAGGGATGCTCCGAAAGCGAAGGGTGTTGGGACAGAAACCAGGCAAACCGCTAGAGACATCCCCACAAAACGGCCGCGAACGGGACCGTGTCATACCCCTCGGCGGCTCCTTTTAGGGACGTGGACATGAGCGCCTCGCTCGAGGCATCCTCAAAATCTGCTCCGAAAGCGAAGGGTGGTGGGACAGAAACCAGGCAACCCGCTTGAGACATCCCCACATAACGGCTGCGAGCGGGACCGTGTCATACCCCTCGGCGGCTCCTTTTGGGGACGTGAAAATGAACGCCTCGCTCGAGACGTCTTCCAAATCTGGGACAGAAAGCAGGCAAACCGCTTGAGACATCTCCGCAAAACGGCTGCGAACAGGACCGTGTCATACCCCTTGGCGGCTCTCCTTAGGGACGTGGAAATGAGCGCCTCGCTCGAGACATCCTCCAAATCTGCTCCGAAAGCGAAGGATACTGGGACAGAAAACAGGCAAACCGCTAGAGACATCACCACAAAACGGCCGCGAACGGGACCGTGTAATATTCCTCGGCGGCTCTCTTTAGGGATGCTCCGAAAGCGAAGGGTGTTGGGACAGACAGCAGGCAAACCGCTAGAGACATCCCCACAAAACGGCCGCGAACGGGACCGTGTCATACCCCTCGGCGGTTCCCCTTTAGGTACGTGGAAATGAGCGCCTCGCTCGAGACATCCTCAACATCTGCTCCGAAAGCGAAGGGTGCTGGGACAGAAAACATGCAAACCGCTAGAGACATCCCCACAAAACGGCCGCGAACGGGACCGTGTCATACCCCTCGGGGGCTCCCCTTAGGGACGTGAAAATGAGCGCCTCGCTCGAGACATCCTCCAAATCTGCTCCGAAAGCGAAGGATGTTGGGACAGAGGACAAGCAAACCGTTTGAGGCATCCCCACGAAACGGTGGCGAACGGGGCGTGCGTGAGTCTCATCATGAGTAAGTCTGAGTAGGAGTAGGTCTGAATATGAGGAGGTCTGAGTATGAGTAATTTTGTGTGTGAGTAAGTCTGGGTATGAGTAAGTCTGAGTGTGAGTCAGTCCGTGTATGAGTAAGTCTTGGTATGAGGAGGAGAGGGGAGGAGAAGGAGAAGGAGGATGAGGAGTAGGAGGCGTCCAAGTAATAACAATAACCCCAAGTAATAACAATAACAATAACAATCCCGCAGGGGGGACTGGGAGCCTTAGACCGCCCCGTCCGAGAGCCGTTTCGCCTGAGATTTCTTCGCAATTTAGTGAGGAATCGTGCTCTCTCCTCATTACTGGCTGCATGGGTGGTCCAGACGGCCACGCTCCTCGTTAAAAACACCCCCCTGCAATCGACCTCCTACTCGAAACGCCTCCTCACCTGTGCTGCTACTGGGGTGCTTTGCTGAGGTAATTGTCCCGACGGCCCCGTCAGGCCAACCAGAGTCTTCCGTCTGTCCGAAGCATCTCCACGTCCGCGGCCTCGCGTTCTGGGCTCCTCGGTCGCGGCCCCATTTCACATGGGGCCTCGTTGACCCGATGCCCCGCGCGGGACGTGTCCGTGGGGTCGCGCGCGCCCACATGACCGCGCCTGGAGCATCGGGACCGCGAGGGCACGCACGCGGGCGTGCTCGCTGCTCGTGAGCTCGCTGGAGGTTCACGGAGAGCGGCCTGTCTGGAGATTGCTCTATTGTTCGCTGAACCCGCAACGTCCGCTACGGGGGGTCGCCCCCCACCCCCCCTCCCTTCCCGTAGCAGTCACCGAACGTACACGCACAGGAGGGGGGGCCGGTGTCTCCCAACAGGCATGGTGCGGTGTGCACAGGCATGTTGTGGTGCTAGCAGGCTTGCGCTGGTGTTCACTAAGCATGCCGTGGCGCTCGCAGGCCGACCATCTCCTCCGGATGCTACGGGGTGGTCAAGAACACAATATTTGGGCATGTCAGATCGTACATTGTACAACGCCAGCCGTGCATGAGGTAGGTTTGTGTCGTGCCATGGCTGCAGCGGCCTTGCCGCGGGCGTTCAAGTCAGTGGCCCAGAATGGGCCAACATGGAACGATTTGGCGATCGAAGACGAAAAGCCACCGATCGATGAAGGTTGAACGATCCAGGCGGTGTCAGAAACCAACGCCGAGGTCGTCACGACACGAACTTGCCGTGCCAGGCCGTATTGGTACACGCTGTCGCGCGTGCCGAGAGGTGAGCGTGCGTATTTGCAGCCCCCCGAACGCGGGGAGGTCACGCAGGACGTCAGCAGACGGGGCTCACCGTGTGCTGCGCGCCAGTCAGTATTGGTGCACCCGTGCGCCAGGTTGGGCGATCGAAGGCACTTTTGCATTGCGATTTCGGCACCGCGGAACTACGGGACTCCCGAACAGCATGACGACGTGTTCCTCTGAACCCTCTTCTCCCTCTTCCTCTTATCCCTCTTTCACCTCTTTCTTCTTCTTCTTCTTCCCCTGCGGTCTCTCGATTTCGCGTGTGCGGAAGCGCGCGGGCAGGTGGGGAGGAGGAAGAGGAGGAGGACCAGTGTAAACCCAAGACGCATCAACGATGTTGCAATTATCCTTCCCACCAAGTTCCTATTGCGGGAAGTGTCTTATTGGAAGACAACCGTATGAGCACCATCAATCGTGCCAAGACCAGTCTTTCGATTTGAGTGCCGCGAATCAACGTGGTTGCTACGTCCTCGCAATGGTGAGTTGCGCCATGACACCATTCCTGGGATTCCAACACAGCGAATCAACGTTACTGGTGCGTCGTGACAGTCCTGAATGGTGCCAGACCACTAGTCCAGAGACTTCAGCCATACGCAACTTTGAATTTGTTCAACAAAAATAAGACAGATGCGCGCGGCGCCAAGGCGAGAGTCACACCCTGAAGACGCACTGCCCTCCATCCTTTGAACTGCTGCGAACTTTTAAGACGAATATGCCCGGCGCCAAGGCGAGATGTACAAGTTGGAATTCGCCTTCCATCCGTGAAACATTGAAATTGTTGCGAATGTGCGCGGTGCGACGGCGAGAGCCACACTGTCAAAGCAACTCGCCCTCCATCCGTGAAAGTTGTTGCACACTTGCAGTGCCGGGATGGCACATGGTGAGGAAATCTCAAGCGACACGTTCGGGGTCACGACAGGGGGAAGTTTTGTATATGGAGGAAAATGGAGGGAGGTGGGTAAAGATTGAGGACGAGGGTGAGGAGGAGGAGGTGGAGAAGGAGGACGAGGAAAGCGGTGGAGAATCAGTGGAGAATAAGGGAGGGATGAGGAGCAGGAGGAGGAGGAGGAGGAGAGGGGAGGAGGAGGGGGAGGAGGAGAGGAGGAGGAGGAGGAGGGAGGAGGAGGAGGAGGAGGAGGAGGAGGCGGGAGGGGGGGCAGAGGAGGAGAGGAGGAGGAGGAGGAGGAGGAGGAGGAGGAGCAGGAGCAGGAGCAGGAGCAGGAGCAGGAGGAGGAGGAGGAGGAGGAGGATGAGGAGCAGGAGCAGGAGCAGGAGCAGGAGGAGGGGGGACAGGATAATCAGCGTTGCCGGGACCAGCGTGGCGGCGCGTAGGGCGGCCCGCCTGGCCGCGAGGTGTGGGCGGGGCCCAGGCCGGGCCCCCGCGCGAGGGGACATTCATATCAGGAGTTTGACGGGTCGGGAGAGTTGGATGGGCCAGAAGGAGGAGGAGGAGGAGGAGGAGGAGGATCAGGAGCAGCAGTAGGATTGGACCAGTCGCAGCGAGCGAGGCGCGAAGCACCCTGGAGGATGAGGAGGAGGAGGAGCGAAGGAGGAGGAGGAGGAGGAGGAGGAGAATGAGAAGGAGGAAGAGTAGGAGGAGGAGGAGGAGGAGGAGGAGGAGGAGGAGGAGGAGGAGGAGGAGGAGGAGGAGGAGGGGGATGGGGGGGAGGATCATCGGGAGGACGGGTCACGGGAGGCAGGCGCAGGAGGAGCAGCAGGAGGGCGAGGATCAGGAGGTGTGAGGGAGGCGCAGAAGCAGCCGGGGAGAAGGTTGCTGGTCTGGCGCCAGACCGCCTTCGAGCCCGCCGAGGCGCCCGCGCCCCCGCAGTGGGCGCCCACGCCGGAAGGCACCCGCGCGCTCCGCCTGCTCGCCGCGTGGTCGAAACCAGAATCTGGCTTATACGGATTGATCTGGCCTCATCTTGCTTGGTCCCGCTTGCTGCTCAATCCGTAAATCTGCTCTTCCGCGCGGATTTCTTGGATAGGGCACTGGACCCCCTGGCGGCGCTTCTGGCGTCCCCCTTTGCGCGCTCCGAGCGCCAGGGAGGGGAGCCCAGCGTCGATCCAGGAAGTCCGCGCGAACCTCCGAAAGCGTATCCGTAAGGGCTGCTCCCCTTGACGCTGGCCCCCTCCCTCGGATAATGAGCTATGCAAGAGCTTCGTTGTGAGGTCTGGGCGCCGTCGTGAAGCAGCGTATGAGCGTGTCAAATTCCATCAACAACTTGAGGACCATCGCAGGCGGTAGCCTCTTGGGCCTCTCTTGGGGGTGCTCTTGGAGCGTTCTTGGGGGCCTTTGGGGAGCCTCTTGGCCGTCTCGGGACCATCTTGGGCGCGTTGGAGCACTCTTGGGCCGTCTTGGAGGCCTCTTGTACCGTTTGTTGGAGTTCTTTATGAAGGGCTGTAGCCTCGAAAGTACGCATACTTTGTTTTTTACGAGGTTTTATGACTTCGGTGACGCGAAGACCGCGTAATTGACAAGGGATCGTGGCTTCGGAGACGCAAGCATTGAATACTTTACGAGAGGGTAGTGTTTCGGAGACGCGAGCATTGCATAACTTATGAGGCATAGTAGGGTCTGGGGAGCGCCAGCACAGCGTAATTTTTGCGAGGGCGCATGGCCTCGGGGACGCGAATCTTCTTATAGTGTTGAAAATGGAGTATGTCCTCGGGTCGGGAACACGGCGTAATCAACGCGGGATTGTGGCTTCGGGGACGCGAAGCTCGTGTATTTTCACGTGTCCCAGGGCCCCCCTGAAATTCTGAGAACCTTGCCAGGACAAGTAACCAGGGCCATTGTCGGCTTCCCCCTTCGTGCGGACGTCAAGTTTTCACAATAGGAAGCAGAACACATACTTGCAACATTGGAGACTGGAAACTGGAACTGGAGCAGGGCGCAGCAAGCCTAAGCCGCGGAGCCTGATGGCCCCGCAAGGGGGCCGGCTGATCTTGATACCAGTCCTGTTGTGTATTGAAGTAAGCGGATCCTGCTCTTGGAAGAGGGCGGGGTTTTGGAGCCGCGCATGAGAACAATCATATCGCCGGATGTCTCTGGAAACGGGCCTCGATTTTTCACAGTTTGTGTTGGCTTCCCGGGGTCCTCCCTGGGCCCTGGGGCTGCCAACAGGACGGGCCCGGGCGGCTCAGGGGATGGCCCTGCCCCCAGGGCCCGTTTCCCTCAGGACCCGTTTGCCTTCGGCCTTCGGCCGCCGCTGGCCACTGGCCGCCTTCGATTGGCCGCCGTTGCCGCTGGAGGGCGAGGATTGCGAGGTCGAGGATCGATCGGTAGAGAGTCGACGATCGACGGCGTCGTCGTTGATCGACGGACGACGGCGACGTCGACGGTCGAGATATCGAGGAAGAAGCTTCTGACAGCCTGCAGGCGCACCTGGGAGCACGCCTGCAGGCGCACCGCCTCCCGCTGCGGGAGGCAGTTGCTCACGTCACACACGTACGTAAGCCTTGTAGGAGGTCCAAGCGGACTTCTCGGATCGGCGCTGAGCCTGTTCCTGCGTCGCCCCTGGCGCGCTTCGCCCGCGTGGTTGGGAGGTCCAGTGTTCGATCCAAGACATCCGCGCGGACCTACGTTTTTCCAGGTTTTCGCTCTTCTACTCCTGGCGACCGGCTTCTCGTGCCGAGCAGTTTTGTTGACTATCCCCAGGGGCTGGCCAGCCAGGGCGCCCTGGAGGCCGAAGAGTGCCGACGGCCTTCCTCGTTTCTGTTCACGGCCCAGGCATGCCCGTCAGGCAGGTCGAGGATGAGGATAAATCACCCTTGAATGTCCAATGCTCTGAGATCCGACGTTGCGAGAACTTGCCTTATCGCGCAACATCACGGCCAGAGCTCTTCAGACCACATCTCTCTGAGGCACTTCTCGAGCCGCACCATTCCGTTAGGGGCCCAGGGCCCGCAATGGGGCGCAGACGCCCGGTGTGAGTCAAATGCAGCGCCCGGATCCCATGGTGCGTTGGAGGGGCGGCCAGCGGCCCTGGCGACAGTGGCGGCGGACGGCGACCGCGGCCGCGGCGGTGACCGCCCCGGCGCCAGGCTCTGTGCCCACGCCCGGCACCTGGGGCGCTGGCCGCCTGCGGCAGCGCCCGGGCACCAGCGCAGGCGGCGTTGCGGCCGGGCCTGCCTGGGCGCCTGCAACGTCCCGAGAAGACCACCCAGATCTCCGACGACATGTTTTTTTTCGATCCAGGCGTTTTTCCTAGAAGTCGGCCTCGTGTGCCCACAATCTGGCCTGGGATCATGAACGAGTGCACCAGGGCGAAGGATTACACCCAGGGCGGGGGTCGGGACCTCTGTGGCCGCGGAGCGATAGGTGATGGCGCTCCGTGCCCCAGGAGCGTCGCAAGAGGCGGCGCCAGGTTGTTGAGACAGCCCTGGACTACTCGGGAGGCCTGCTGAGACCAGCCGGGACTACCTGGGCAGGCCGTCTGTGTGCAACCCGAAGCCTTACCAGTTTTGTTCGGGGATCGTGTCGGACGTTTCCTCTACGGTTTTTCGGGTACGGAGGTTTTTCTTTGGAGGGCTATTTGGGTTTCCGAGGGCGCCCCCGTCGCCACGGCTAAGTTCGCTTCAAACTTCTTGCCTGAACGCATCCCTGGAAAGGTCGAGGGGTCGATTTCTGAGGGAGAGGCCCAGACAACAAATGTATTCGATCAATCGATGCGTCGGTTTTTGCCTATGCTTTCGACCTTTGGGCTTTAGAGGCCCTCGCCGAGCGCCAGGCCCGTCAAACGACCCAGAGGAAATGGTCGCGACTTCCGTGGACCCCGTATTAAAAGCATGCAAGACACTGAATAGTTGGGTTTGTTTCCTCGAGGACTTCGTGCGGGCTTCTGGAAGTTTTCGGTGTTTTCGTTGGCTCTTGGAGGCTTTCTGGCTTCAGGGTGGATTTTCAGCACCTGCACCTTGCCGAGAGCGCTCCTTGTCACAGTTGGGTCAGTCCCGTCTACTTACGCGCAATCTAGACTAGTCCTGCTCGATCCAGAGCTAAGTTCGGCCTGATCCGGCTGAATGGCAATTTCATCAGGCGTAAGAGCTTTGAATATTTGATTTCCCAAGAGTTGTTTCCTAATCCACCTCGTGCCAGCCTTTGCTTCTTCTCTGCTTTGTGGCTCCTTCTTCGCCCCTCATATTTTCCGCCGTGGGAGGCCATCGCTCCTCCTTCAGGCCAGTTTTGACGGCAGCGTGGCGCTGCAGCCACACCGAGGGGCCCAGTGCTCATAAGCTGCCTCTGGCGTCCCTTCCTCCTGATCTGTTCCTCCTCCATCTCCCCGACATGAAGCAGCCAGGTCCTGAGGGAAGCGGGCCCTGTGCTTCTTCACGTTATTTTGATTTCTGGCGCGCCCTCCGCGACGAATACCATTCTCAAGACTAAGAGTCTGCCTTGGGGGAGGACCCCCGGGCCCAGGACCCGTTTCCCTCAGGACTCATTTGTTTCAAGCCAATCTTTCAGGCGGCATGGCGCTGCACAGTGTCTGCGCCATGCCGCCTGGGCCAGTTCTGTCTTTGCGCGGCCACTCTCAGGCTCGGGAGTCGATTCGGCAGAGTGGTAAGCAACCGAGACTCCCGACAGATGTCGGAGTGGTTGGATGAATACACCATGCCACTCGGTCGGCCAAGGATCCAACACATTTGGCGAAGATGCGTACCAATGCTCCAGCAGGCCGCAGGCTGGGAAGCTGGGGCGCCTAGACACCGAGCTGCTTGGCCGACCTGAGGACTGCGGACTTGAGGAGGAACCAGGAGCAATCAGGGAGGGCCAACGACGGCCGACGGCGGCCGCCGACGGCCACCGACGGCCAACGGCGGCCAGCGACGGCGGCCAGCGCCTGGCGAGCCGGACCATGCGCACGGCAGGCGGCGGGGGGCCCGCGGGGGGCCGCGCCTCGACGCCCGGGGCGGCGCGGGTGGCGCAGCGGCGGGAGGATCGCGCGCCCCCCCGCCGTGGGGGGGGGCGAGGCGCCTCGGGTGAACCATTCTGGAAGTGCCAGCGGTGCGCTGTCGAGATGTGGCAGGGGGCTGGCGCAAGAGCCGCTCGCCAGCGAAGGCCTACGTTGCGCCCTGCTTCATTCGGGCGTGGCGGCGTAGAACAACCGCCCCGCAAAGCAACCTACGTTAGCGAAACAGAAGACAGCCCTCAGACCCTGGCGCTGCAGCTCTTCCCCAGTAGCGACATTCGCCGGAGGGTTCCCAGAGACGCAAGCGACGACTATGGAATCCCACAGGGGGACGGGGAGCCCGAGACCGCCCAGGGAGAGCGCCTGGTCCGGAGACGGTCCTGCAGTCGTTTCGTATGAGATGTCTTCACACTTTGTTCAGGAATCGTGCTCTCACTTCGCCGGTCGGCCGGCTACATTTTTGGTCTGGAAGCCAGAGGACGCCCAGTCTGGCAGCTGTTTCGCGTCGGATTTCTTCGCAATTCATTGAGGAATCGCGCTCTCGCTACATGGTGGTTTGGATGGCCACGATTCCTTGTGCAACAGCAATGAGCAGGCGCACATGGCCGTTCTCCCACCCCTTTCACTCGTCGACCCCCTACTTGACCCGCCTCTTCACCTTTTATGTTTTTCGGAGGGCAATCTCTCCTGTATGCGAATACACTGGCGGCTCTGTGTGGCTTCACCTTTTATGCTTTTCGGGTGCTCTGCGCAGGCAATTTCACACCGAGTGTTTTCTCCCAGTTTTGGGCCCTAGGGCCATCACAGATCCATCTGGCTCGACAAGTGCTGCACAACAACATGGGGTCCAGGAGTCCATGGTTCTGGGTAGTTTTTCGCGCAACGTCGGATCTCACAGGGGATACGAGGATCGCGCCGCATCGCCGATGCATCGGCGATGCATCGTCAGTGCATCGGGCTCGGGTCGGAGGAAGAACACCCAGGCCTCCAGCACACTGAACAATGCAGTGCGGAGGCGTCTCGTCGTTCGCGGCCTCTGGCTGGATGCCCTCGCTGCGGGCCGTCAAACAACGACTCAGGAATGCCGAGCTGGCCCCGAGGAGGGGGTCGGGACCTCCAGGGACCCCGTGATCAACAAAATCAATACATTGGATCTCTGGAAAGCGGGGCTTCTGGGAAGCGGGGCTCGGAGGACCGCGCCGCATCGCCGATGCATCGGCGATGCTGCTCGATATGGAACTGTTTCTATCCTCGCCGACGGCGCCGATGCATTGGCGACGTCGCCGATGTATCGGCGATGGGTTGGCGATGCGGCGTCATCCTCTAATTCCCTCTGATCGGATCCCGCAGCTCATTTCGATCCCGCCTACGCGCGCTTTCCTCGGCGCACTGACGCGTCCCCGGCGCCATGAGGCACCAGGAAAACCATCTACGTGAGCAGATTCGCTAACCTCGAGGAAGAAAAACTGCATAAGCAGAAACTGTCGACGATCCGCGTGAATTCTTGGATCGGCGCTGGGCCCCCCTCGCTGGCCCACGGAGCGCGCCAGGGGCGGCCCCAGAGGTGCCGCCAGGAGGGCCCAGCGCCGATCCGAGAAATCCGCGCGCAGCTCCGAAGGTTCATGCTCAGGTAGGAGTCGTTTCTCGATCTAGCGCCCCCTTTCCTGCCCCCCCCCCCTTCGCCCGACCCAACCCCAGCGCGGCGGGCGGCCGCCTTCTGTCCTCGAGGGCTTCGCGTCCCCCGTCTCCCGGCGCATGGATGCGAAGTCAGCTCCAGGCCTCCCAGAAGGGGGCAGGGTGGACGGTGTCGGAGGATCGCGCCGCATCGCCGATGCATCGGCGATGTTGCTCGATGTGGAATCCGATCCTCTCCACGCCGTCGTCGACGATGCACCGCCGATGCATCGCCGACCTCGCGAGAGAGGTCTCTGCCAGCTCGGAATATCTTTCGCCAGTTCGGGCCTCCGTTGGCTCTTCTGCGGAGGTCGTTTTGCGGTGGTTTTTCACCGGAGGGGGCGTTTTGGGTTCCTGGAGGCGCCCTCGTCGCCCTGGGCAGTCCAGGTGCCGACTTCTGAAGAGAGTGGAGAGGGCCCCTACCTCCGGCGCATTGCGAAACGTCTATGCGGAGGTTTCTCGCCGTGTTAGGCCTCTGGGGCCCCCCGCTGGGCCCCCCTGGGGCCGTCAGCAAAAACGACTCGGGATGGAGGATCGTTCCCTGTGGCAAAGAATCGGGGCTTCTGGGTGCACCGTGTTGAAAAAGGACGTCTGCGGACGGCGTTGGCGCCCCCCGATGCGTCGTCGATTCTCGACCCAGGATGGGTGCGGTGCATAGTGTTCTGCCATGGGAACCGAACAACTATGCACAGTACCGCGTTGCATTTGGACCTAAAGGGAGTCCAGACGTGATACAGTGCACGGGCGCCGTTCTCGTAGTCAAGGCGTCGGAACTCTCGGCTCGCCTCCTCGTCGGGAGCCCGCGGCTGGGGGGGCCCGCCGCTCCTCTCTTCGCTTTTCGACCGAGGGCCTAAGTCGTTCGAGGGAAGGGTGGCGCCCCCCCCCCTCGCGGCGGGGGGCGTGCTCGGCCGGTCAGTCAATGAGTGCGCGAGGGTGGCGTGGAGCAGTCAGAGGAGGATGTGGCGAGGGAGGGTGTGGCGAGAAGCTCGGATCTCGGTCCCAGATGAGCGACCCAGAAAACCGGTTCGATTTCGCCGACATTCGCGCGTAAGAGTAAGCGCCTTCATTTCCAATGTGGCGTGCCGCGCTGACGGCCCCCGTCACCGGGTTAAGGCCGCTATGCGTTCTCGCGTGAGACCCGTCTGTTATCGTCGCTCAGATGCTGACAAGACCCTCTCGTGAAGAGGCACGTTCTGAGACAGGACAACGAGGACGACAGCGACGGCGAACGACGATGAGACAGGCGGCTGCCCACTTGGAGTGGCAGGCACGGACGGTGCCAGCGGGTACCGCAGAACCTGGGCAGAAGCCAGGCTCGATTCGATGAGGGCCCGCGGCGAGAAACGAGGACGCCCCCCCCGCCCTGGCGTCCTCGGTCGATCGGTCGATCCGTCGGTGAGGGCACCTCAATAGGGTTGAGCTGGGGCGCTCCAAAAGAAGAGTTGCCAGCCGTCGTCCTGTTTGTTCCATGTTAGTGTTTCAGAAGCAGCTACATACGCCGTGGGTGGGAGGTCGGTCGGTGGAAAAAGACTGCGGTGCAGTGTCCAGCTCATTTGAAGTTTCCCAGATATGGTGGCAGAGAGGGATAGGGGATCAGCCAGGGGCAACGGAGGTCAGCAGTTTGGTGGTGACGAAGGAGTGCAACGGGGAGTGGTATTGTGAGTAGGGTTGAGAGGAGACGGACTGAAGGAGAGTTGTCGGGACGAATGGGGGAGAGCCTCAGCGCGCGCTTGGTTCCAGCTTGCTGAAGAGGTGCAGTGTCCGAAAGGGAGGAGAGGATTTGGAAGGACGAGCTCGCTGGACCTACGCCTAGAGGGCTGGTGGGACTTGTCCTCATCCTGCACTCGTCTTGGAGAGCGGAGGGAACGGCTGGGGTTGACACGGACAAGCCGGTGGTTCGGCAGTGCAGAGTGGTGCGCCCCTGGGTTTCCGTCGGCCGCACCCGCTGGCCAGGAGGGCCTGCTCAGTCTGCCGCACCGGCTCTGGGAGGCGGCGGCCCAGCTGCAGCCACGACGACATCAAGGGCAACGACAAGGGGGGCGGCTCAGGGCGGGAGTGCATCGACCCCCGATCGCCCATTGATCGCCGCGGCCTGGTAGCCCCACCCGCCAGGAACGTCATGTTTCGCTATCGAGGGCCGAGCGCCGATTCCAGGTCCATGCTTTCCCCACCTGAGCCCGCCCCCGCCCCCCAATCTTTCCCCTCAGACGAGGATGAGTCGGGCGGTGCTAGTGGTGACCCTTGGTCCCAGGTGGCCCCAGCTTGCCCAGAGGGGGTCCCAGGTGGCCTCCGTGGCCCCCTCTCGCCAGGGGAAGCGTGGGCACTTCGGGCTAGGATCCCTTCTGGCAGCCGCAAGATGTTTGCGAGTGCGTGGGGTGCGCGGGGAACGGGTAGGGTTAGCTATGTCCTTGCATCGAGCAAAGTAGCACCACGCTCAGTACTAGACTCTGGAGCGTACTCGGGGTTCAAAGCATATCGCTAGCACGGTCTGGTCGCCAGGCGGACGAATCCAGGACCCAGGTCCACTGGGTCCCTCGGACGCAGATGTTGGCCGCATTAAGGTGAGGGCAGGTCTTCCCACTTGAGGCGCATGCCTCGGTCAGTCCCCTCGGCGATTTTCAAGAGGCGCTCTCTCGCTGTCTCTCTTTCTCTGTCCGTCGCTCTCTCTCTTTCTCTTTGTCTCTCTGCCTCTCCTGTCTCTCTCAACTTTCCCCATCACTTCACTTTCGCCCACTAGGGAGTGCCAAACCCTTGAGTGGGTGCGTTAGCAGCCTGGCCGACCTTCGCTGACGCAGACGTGCATCAGGGACACCGCGCGGGCCAAGTTGGCCTCCCGCGCGGTCCTCCCCCACTCCTCCCCCCCTTGTTTGCAGTCCCCGTGCCAGTCCCCGTTCCCTCCCCCTACCCCTCCTGTCCCTTTCCCCCCAGCTGGCCGAATCCTGAGATTGAGATATCATCTGCGTGTATCAGGCGATCGGGCCCGGAAAAAGTTGTCATGGGATCGAACCGACAGTTCAAAGTAGGCGTCGGTTGCGGACCCGTGCCCCCTGGAGGCGGTTCAAGGTACCAAAGCAAGTGGGCACAGGAGCGGGCAAGGCGGAGAACACGATGCAAGGCAAGCTCGTCTGAGACGTGCTACTGAGCTAGATCCTTCCAGCCCGCTTGGCAAGTACAACCGGGCGGAACGTCAGGAAGCTGAGGCTCCTCACCCCCGTCCTCTGTGTGTTTATGCTACCACTCTAATCGAACAACATCGGGTTGCGTTTGGTGGCGCGGCTGCCTTCGCTGTGCTGCCTAGGACGTCGGTCTGAGATGCCGTCTGGAAGAGAGACGTTGGCATTGACGTGGAGGACGGCCACGGCATAAGCAAGGTAATAACGACTACTTTCATCGTTTCCCCTGTGCCATGCATGCAGTGCCTCATGGCAAATATCTCGGCCGTGTCTCGTCGACATTTCTGAGCCGATGAGTCGCAAGCTTAAGTTGGATCAAAGACGGCTCACGAGACAGCGATGTGGCTCTTGTTCCAGATGAGGGTCTTTCCGACGGTCATCTTATTCTCGACGCAATGGACCAGTCAAGTCTCGTACTTACGGATCCCGTCGAGCGATCAACCACCACCACCACAGTACATGCACAAGGCGAAATATATGTAGGAGAGTGGAACGCAAGCCTCTCGATGGCGGTTTCGTAGTCTGGTGGCTCCTCGGCTACCCTCTTGGGTTGACGAGCGAATTTCAACTCAACCCAACTGAGACTCGTCAATTCTAGAGATACGCCTTTTCGAACGCACAGGAGGACTCGACGTGTCGAATTTCTTCGGCGTGGAACGACTTGTAACTTATCCTCGTCAAGGGGAATCGATTCCAGACCTGTGCCAGCCTCGGCGTCGGTCGGAGGCTCAGGGGGCCGGTTTCCTGAGGATGTCCCACGCGAAGGCGTCGGTTTGGAATTCGCGGGAATGCCCAGATTTCCCGGAAGCGGATCAAGGGGGCTTCTGAGGGCCTCCTTGGGGAGGTGCCAGGGGCCAGTTTTTATCTGAGGATGTCCCACGCGAGGGCGCCGGTTTGGAATTCGTCGCAGGGCGTCCCGGATTTCCTTGACGCGGAACCTGGGGGGCGGCTGTCCGGTCCATTCCGTCGCGCGGCGGGGGTCCAGTTGACGTGGGTTCTCAAGGCGAACTCCCTCGAATCAAAAATTATAGCTGGCTTGGGCCTTAGCAGGACGTCGTTAGGTGGATCCAGAAGAGCAAGATCCCTTCGGTAGATAGTCATTGGAACCCAGTGCATCCTTTTCACTGCGTCTTCAGCGTGGACTTGCGCCGATTAGCGTCTGGGAGTCAATGAGATAGCGCCGATGTATCGATTACCGTTTATGTAACGTCGGTTTTTGCGGCGATTTAGCGTCGACTAGCGTCGATTCACAAAAGCTGACAAGATGGTATGGGAGGCTCTCATGAGTTGCCACCGAAGATCTATACCTAGTAGGAGTTTGCTGAAGCTGGGTCGAGCCTTTGTGTGATTCTAGTTGAGCTCGATCGAGCCCCAAGAAGATTTTATGAGAGTTTTAGCAGCCCGTTTAAAGTGGAGCTGGATCGAGCCCGGGAAGGATTCGGAGAGAGCTGCCCCGAACCCTAGTTGCGTTCTATCGGAGCCTGCGCCTGGCGCGGGCGCCGGCGACATGTGACAGCCGTGGGCGCTGCCGCCGCTGACGTTGTCGCCGTCGTCGTCGTAGGCATCGTCGTCGTTGCGGGGGGAATGGAGGTCTGGACCCCCGTAGTATTTTCAATATTTTCCAGGGGGGCAGGGGTGACTGGGGGGTTCTGGACCCCCCCGAAAAAAAATCCTGTGGCGGGGGTTTGTGGGGAAGTGGGGTTCTGGACCCCTGTGTTTTTTTGCGGGGGGGGCGGACCGTTAAGGGGGGGGTCCTTGGTTTCGGACACCTCCTTAAGATTTGTTTTTTTGGGGGGCGAGGGGAGGACCCCGGGTCTCTGACCTCCCCGTATAACACTTTGTGAGGCCAGCGACAGTGGATCGTGCTCCCTCGAATGTTTCAATGCGGTGGAGGTTTGGGGTGCGATGCCTCCCTGGCGAGGCGGCGAGCGAAGCTTCGCCAACGCTGGCGGCGCTGCGCTGCTCCTCGCCGTCGTCCGCCGGGCGCCCCCGTCCGCACCCCCCCACCGCGCCCACCGCGGTGCCGCTCTTCGTATCTTCGTTGCTCTTATATGTGTGCTGGTTGTCGTTGTGTCTTTGCGTGTTTAGTAGTATTGGGTGTTTGTCGTTGGCGCTGTTCAGCCATACTGTAATTATGCATATACACACATATGGTATCCACATATATATACACATATTTATATACACACATATATATAAGTCTGTATATATGGCGATGTTGTTAGTTAGTATTGTGTATGCTATTTGTTGCGTGTGCGTGTGTGTGTGTGTTTGTGTGTAGCCTTTTTCTTTGGCTGACTACTTGTGTGTTTGTGCCATTGTCTGTTGTTTTGTGTGTGTGCGTGTATTTGCGACTGCTTGATGTTTATGTGGGATTCGACCAAGCGTACCCCAGCTTAGTCTTCGCTACGGTGCCGCAACCTCGCCGTTGGATAAACAGTGTTGGTTTCGTGTGTCGTTGTTCGTTGTTTCTCTTGTAGTTGTTTGCGTAATGTATGCTGTTTTGCTTGTTTGACTTTTGCTCTCGCGGTTGGGCCCGTCGACGACTGCCGCGAGATGGTCTGTAGTTTTCGACTTCAGGGGCCGCCTGAGGGCCCTGGTACCGTCAGAAACGGCCAGGGACAGAACTCCCCCCTGGAGGGAGGGCAGGGACGGAGGAGGGCGAAGGACCACCGCAGCCGGGAAGGGCGGGATGGAGGAGAAGGAGGAGGAGTCACAGCAGAATGAGCAGGAGGAGGAGGGCATGGGCCAGGAAGATGAGGGCGGAGGAGGAGGACGAGGACGAGGACGAGGAGCAGGAGGAGGAGGAGGAGGAGGAGGAGGAGACGAGGCAAGGCAAGGCAGGCGCTTGGGGGTCGTCGTCTCTAAGCTTTTCGGCTCAGTGACCCCTGCGAGGGATCTGGACGCAGGCCCCCCGTCACTTCAGACGAGGCCAGCCGACGCGTCCCAGGGAGAGCGCCGAGCAACTCTGCACAGCGTGGTTCGTGAACAACGTGTTCTGCACTGCGTGGTTCCTCCGAATATTCCTTCAAGGCATCAAACACTGCATCAATAACATTTGTTCCTTGTCCTATCACAGTCAGACGGTCCATTTTTGTTTGCTTCCTCGGTGTCTGCAGCAGCGTCCCAAAGCTCGTCGAACATCTGTTCCAGTGCGGCATCATGTTCCTTCGTCCTCCCAGGCGTGTCTGACAACTCTAGAAATGTATCATCTAGGTCTTCCAGTTATGTTCGGTCATTGCTGGCAGCTGCACGGCAATATTCTTCCTCCAACATTTGGATTATGGTATCCAGCAAGACCTCTTCGCGCGAGATGAAACATACAACTCTTTGGGCTGTGTTGTATCATCGCACATGGCAAGGGTAGCAACCACAATAAGGCTCGAGGCATGTGGTTTCGTCATTTTGACGGGTATTGATATGTCCCAGAATTCTTGAATACTGCATTCGCTATATCTTTTTCTTCCATTGCGCAATCCAGCCCTCCCATCGACCAGTTCTGCTTGGTGCACTTGCGGATGAGATCTCTTTCGTTTAGCCCTTCGCTATCACCATCGGGGTCGTGCTCTGCAGGTATGAATTCAACACGCTTTTTGCTCGACTCGGTGAGTTGTCGTTTTATGTCAAGGTCTGATCGGGATCTTCCACCTTCACTTCTAAGACGGATCACTAATTCTTCTGGTTGCCGCTTCATCTTGCCAGGATGATGCACTCTGAATTCGTTTAAAAAAAGTAAGATTTCAAACCACATGTGCTGTTTAAAGTTGTCGCCTCTCCCACCGAATAAAAGCGAGGCCAATGAGATGGTTCGCGCCC